CAGTGCTACCCAACTGCGCCACCCTGCAGCCCCCTCTACGACTAATGATACTGAAATTATACAAAACCCCCCAACAATAGATGGCAGATAGGCACTACGAAGTTTCTACTTGTTCCCCCAAACTGTGAGGCCTTAACATAATGTAAAAACAAGGTTTTTTAACTGTAAAAGTGTGGCTACTGAGGCGGCCACAGGAGAGTTGAAATCAAAGCACAGGGGGAGAGACACGAGGTGAAGACACTGTGTGATGTGATGTGAAAGGCAATTAAGGTACTTAGCAATCCCTCAACACCCACTTGCTGCAATTTGTGTCAGAATTCATACTTATTCTCTGAATCTCTAAGAAGTCAGATCTGAACCCACAGACATGCTACATTTATATTCAGATTTAGCGTGACACACTTTTTCCCATCGTGGATAAACCTCCTCAAACCTCCTTAGAAAATAGAATAGAACGCAACTTGCCTGAGAATCACCACATTGTAGCTGTCTGTAGACCCACAGGGAACTACTAATAACTCATTGGCCATGCTGTAACAGTGCCGGTTTGTTATTATGTAAACAAATATATGCTAAAAAATGGAGCTGGAGTTGTAGCCCGCAGCTAAACAACTGTCTCCATGGCGATGTTCTTATTTTACTTTCTGTTTACATCTCTAAAAACAGAGCACGTATCAAAACAAGACAAAGGAGAAGAGAGGGAATAGTCTAAAACTAATACTGCCTCATAATGTGCCTCATCTATAATGTATTTCCACTCAAATGTCAAAATGCTAGTTTCGGATTAGCCTGTAAAATCTAAAACTGCCAAGACGTGTTGTAAAAGTTCATCTTGCACCAAAGCAGCTCTTTTGATGTGATAACCATCGCCTGTCGAGAGGGAAGCAAAGCATCTTCTTCATTTAAATCGAGCTTTGACATCAGGTTTGCATGAAGTAAACCATAAAAGTGACTCGAATGGAAACTGGAGATAAAAGAAAAATGTTTTAGGAGGAGACAGGAAGAGAAGGAGCGCGAGTAGAGGAGGCTGGTAGGAGGGAGAAATGGCCTGAGGTGAAGAGTGGTCTAGAGGTGTATGGAGGGAGGCAGGAGAGCTGAGACTCCAGGGGAGATCCAGAGGTGTGTGTGCGAGATAGTCTCAACATGTGTGTATGAACGTGTTGTACAGATGTAATAATTCATACAGTGATAATTAGGACTCTGGGGACTCTATGTCACACACCCCCAGTACCCCCTCACTCTTTCACTCTCATTCACTCTCTTCCTCACACACTCTGCTTATTCCTCATGCGCCTTTCTTGCCTTCTCCCCTATTATTTCTGCTGTCTTTCTCCCACTTTGTCTGCTTCATATTCACCCACGCCTCCATCTTGCCCAATCCGTCTTCATATTTTTATTGAGCCCATGACTTGAATCAGATACAGAGATATGGAGTCCTTGTTGGAAATTACTTTGTACATTCTCTGGAACTGTGTTGTTATCTGGTCCTGCTGATCAGAAACAAATTGGGCTCAAAAGTCTTTGTGTTCTGGCCTGTGTTGGTGGAAATTAAAGTTTCAAATCTGAATGAACATCTTTTAAAAAAAAAAAAAATTGACCAAATTTAGTTCATCAGACAATGAACAATTTTGTTTATTTAATTTTAATACATTATTTTTCTTGTGTTTTCCAGCATGTGTAAAACGTTTAATGCTGCATTCGACATTCATATATGTCTTGGTAGTGCTTTTATTTTTGACGATGTTTCCCTTCATGGATCTCTGCGTGGGGGCTGAGCTGACATACAGTACACAAGACTAAACATGATTGATCGGCATCGTGCTGATAGATGAGGTAACTAACGGTACACAGTTAAAGCACAACTATAATTAGAGATGTCTTTTAGTTTTATTTGCTCCCGAGCTCCCAATCCAAGTCATTTAATGTTTAGTACTGCTGATTTCCGATATCATTTTTCTAAATAATACACTTAGTTGTAGTACCTGGTTGCACCACCAGGTAGAGTCTCTTAGTATTTGATACTGTAGCGACTCGAGGAGGCAGGCACGTCCGTTTTGGCATTGTGGGAGTTTAGCTAGTTAGGAAGCACCGTGATAAAGACTTCTATGAGGCTTACTGACCTCAGGCCAGTGAAAAGTGTCAAATTAAGCAGGACTGAAGTAGGGAAGAGAATCTAATTCACTGGGTAATATCAGGTGGCTGTTTAGCAGCATTCTTTACGTTTCTGTGTGACAGCACATGTAAACAAACTATGGGGAATTGGTCGATGCCGATACTGATCAGATAAAAACTTTCACGATCAGCCCTGGTCACAGGACATCCGTAGTTATGAGAATATTTGAGATTATTTACTATGTTTGACTTTCCAGCAAAGACATAACACTAAAATGAAGTGAGGAGATATTTTTGGACGCCGGTCACATTCCTGTTTGGCCAGATGGGCTTCATGAGATAAAACTTTATCATGTTTATGTGGATATTGCATTGGAGTTTGTGTTATGTTGTTTGTTGTTCAGTGGAATTCATATCCAAGCTCACCTGAAGTCGTGTTGCAAGCTGTGGGTTCTGCAGGTGAGTGGAGGAGAAACATTGAGGGAAGGCACTCTGGAGTGACCATCCTTTGGATTTTCCTAGAATATCTGTCCAGGTGTCCTTTACAGGTTGTTATAGACCAGCGAGACAGTCGGGGGAGTTACGTTGTAATCCACTCAGATGTTGGCAATGGAACAACTGATTAATACATGTGAATTGCTTCATGTTCTTACGTCCTAATCGTTTTTGTAATTTGTGATGGTAGCATTAATTTTATTGCATTGTTTAGAACAGAACAACTTAAAGTAGTTTTTAAATCAGTAGACTTGAGCATTTATTTGTTGGTACATGTGTCTGTGTTGTTATTTGCATTTACATTCATTTTTGTGTATGCATGCACATGAATGTAGCTAGGTGTATGTTAAAAAGGGGCTTTGTTTTGTCCTCTAGTATATGAGTGTCATTTGCATGTGTTCGTGTTTCAATAACGGTGTGTGTGTGATTGTGTACAAATGGCGTGTCTGCAGTGGTGTGAGCATGTGATAGCATTTTTTAATGTGATGTCACTGTGCATTTGGTATTTGAGTTAGCATCACTGTTGAGAATTGTCAAATGCGACCGAGCCCGAGTGTTTCTGCTGTGACTTTGACAGTAATGGTGTTTCTGCAGGAAAGGAGAAACAGAGTACGATAATAAATCACCCTCGTTTAGACTCACCCGCTGATAGAGAAAGAGAGGAAGGGGGAGGAGCTGAGCGGAGAGATGATCAAAAAATGCAAATTGGAAGTAAAGATAAGGGAGAAGATTAAGGGAAGGCTTATTTAGAAGAGATGATAGAGAAGAGACAATAAGGGGCTGCATCTGGCATTTTAACTGCAATATTTCATGACCATGTGAATTCAGAGGCATCAGTGAACACAGGGACATTGCTGAGACGTCTACCAGCCTCTACATTGCATTTCATTTCTGCCAGAGAATTAGATTGTTTGGAAATCTGCTTTGCAGCTTACAGCACAAAACAGAACGACTCCTTGGTTTTCGAGCATCCGTGGAGCCTTTAAAGGGTCTTACAATGGCAGATGATCGAGCGCAGGCCAAATGAGAAATCTCTTCCAACATGTTCGCGCTCTTCGGCAAAGTGTAAAAGAAAACAAACACGCAGACTGACAGCAGGGAATGTAAGGCGGGTTCAAGTAGAAGCGCTGCAGCAGGAATCAGTGGGATTTATGGGAAACGTGTGTCTCATTCTTCAGAAACACTATCAACAGCAACGCATTAAAGTAAATTATTGGGTTAATTAATTTTAATGATTGAAATCACCCGTAGAGTCACCGACTAGGGATGGAGAGGAGAGCTTAAAGAGAGGGGACGCAGATGTAGACGGAGGAAGGAAGCCACCTGTCTGAGAGTGCAGCTGACATTAAAGTCTTGCTGGGTCAGCAGTCTGAGAGGTGACAGCCTCCACATTTTATATTTATTAGGCTTTTTCGTTTTGGTCCCCCGGGGAGTCTATAGGACAAATGGAAACACTGATTCAGTCAGAAAAAGAATGTGTGTGATTCTCCCAGGTAGCCGCAAGCATTCTCAAATGAATTCTAATTAATGTTATGGTCAGTTCTTGATAAACAGATCTTTCAGTAGGTACATTTTTTTACCTCATTCTAAACCTAACCCTTCTGAAATGAGTAGGGCGGCTACCACCATGTAGTGACTGAGAGCAGCTTGAAGGTGTGAAT